AACATATTTTCCCACGCAGCAAATACACGCACATAGAATACACTATTGCCGATTGCTATACGGCACTTAATGTAGCGACCATGTACTCTATATATTCATTCATACAATTGTGATCATCCTCTGTCATGGTCAATACACTGTTGGATGAAGGGATTGTTGAAAACCGCAGTCATGCCTCACGATCATGTAGTTTTTTATAATGTCATAAAGATTCCACATGCGCCTTAGGTTACAAAATAAATGCATGGGTTAGTGACACAGAAACATGCAGACAATGGAATGGTTACAATTCGAGTCGGTTCTATTTATCCAGACGCGATTCATTAATAAATCGCGATTCATTAATAAATCGCGTCATTAATTAATTAAATACCGTAATCACAATCTTATATAAAACAGTTCACGTGCATATTTGAACAATCTATTTACAATCTTTTTATGCGTTTCAGTTATTAGTTTTTTTCTGTACAGCGCTCTACAAAAATTAAACTATTGATTGATAGGTGGATTCATAAATAGGTCGATTGTTATATCCCATGATCGTGTGGCGGCGGCATTCATCCAAGAGGTATTCATTCAGCAGTGGATTGAAATGAGCACCTGGAGCGGTTTGGATAAACATCATCATTGGGGAGACAAAGGGACGTGGTTCATTTTTTTCTTTACGATCAGAGGAAATAAGAAGATACTGCCACACCACCTACCCACTCGTGTGCTGAGCAGGGCTTCATAGGCGCTTGCTAAGAGCACATGGCCCAAAAAGTCCGTTCGAGCCTATAGGGGTGGATCTTTGTCTTCGTTAGTGGCACAACTCTGACACACCGCACACACCACACGAGTGGAAGTGTATTCCTTGTCCCCCGCAGTTTCTCTGTTGTGGATTTCACAGAGTGGAAGTTCGCAACAAAACTGTAGGGAACGTAGTTTGGTGAGACAGATAATTTTGTAGAACAATCATTCGCCACGCACTGACCAGCGTAGTGAAACAACTCCCACGCACCGAAATGGGGGTTGGATTTGCATTATTTTTATATTTCATATTCAAACATTATTCAAGTGGAAGCATCAGTGAACATGCAGTGGGGGGTGAATTATTAAATGAAATAATTCCCTCACAAGAACATAATTTTAAAGTACAGTACTGTACACTAGTCATCCTTAATCAATGGAAGATCATCAGGCTGTCTCAATTGAGACGATCTTGTTGTGTTCAAGTGTTGCCCACTTATGCTTCTGTAATTGGCAGTCAGTTGTTCAATGTTTGTGTGTTGTGTAATTGCCCCATGTGAGCTGCAAAGCTGGAATGGGGCCAGTGAACAACACACTAAAAATCTTATACATTTACACACGCTTATGCACAAGCATTAACAGACTGTTGGGGCAAGTGCTGTTCGCGAGCACCTATCAAGGCCGAGGGACCTTTGTTTCCCGCACCGCCAGGTATTGTACTTCTTTTGAGGCCGAGTCGACCTAGGGGGAAGGCTCAGGACCGGTTCACATAATCGTCACTGGTGTTGGTCGTGAACGAATGGGAATCGAGCTCGGGTCGCCAGGGTCGTAGCGCAGCGTGCTCACCATTACATCACTACCGCTCCCCAGCCACTGCTGCATCGAATTAACAACCCGCAGGGCCCTCTTTGCGCATTCAGCGGCATGATTTGAAACGCAACTCTCTCACTTTATACCGGGAGCGTCGGCGTGCGGGACCTCTGTGGTGTCGCCGTAGTGTAACCCGCAAAACCGAGTTCAATTCCCGCTCACGGCCACCAACACCGGTGACGATTATTCGAACCGGTCCTGGGCCTTCCCCTAGATCGACTCGGCCCCAAACGAGTACCTGGTGCGGTGTAAACATCGCCAATGTAGGGAGACAAAGGCGGCCGGGCGTGGTGTTGGCCACCCACAGGCTCGTTGCGCCGTTGCCGTTCTTCGTAGGTGCTCGTTAACAGCAACTTGCCCCAGCAGCCTGTGTAGGCAACACGGGGGACCCGGTGTCTTTTGTGCGCGTGCCTTTCAACCCCCCTCCTTATCCCGGTCGGCAGATGAGCCGAGTAGGTTGGGAACTGGGTGGTTGGGGAGGTAGGGACGAGACGGGGGCGGAGGGTGCCTGGGTAGTTGGGTGGGTAAGGTGGTGGTGGGGGGGGAGGGCTGCGCATTACGTTTAAAATCCCCAAAGATAACCGTACTAAAACTGACCTCTGCGTGCCGCATGGGCCAATAACAGTGTCCGCCGTGCCACGTGCGCACGCACGTGCGCCACGCGCTCCGCCAACTGGCCCGAGCAATTCGCCCTTCGCGAAAAGCGATGCGTTGTAATTACGTCACCGCCACAGTGTCTTAATCACCGTGGGCCGTGCTCTGTCCACTGCTGGATGAAGGGGGTCTCGACCACGCCGCGGCTCATCTCGCGGTGCCGTCACCTCCACTTCTGCATGAAGTTGATGCGCAGCCGGTGGTGACGATATTGCTACAGTCTATAATGTACAGTCTATAGTTTACTTTTTTTTAAGAATTAGTACTGAAACTATTCACCCTCTATCCTCCGCTGCCCCACCCCCCCTACATCCAACTCGCGATTAGATTAATTAATCGATGTGAACACGATGCTTTACTGTAACAATGTAGCGGCCTCTAGTGGCTGCTTGAACCACGTTGCAGTACGGCGCACGTAACCGTACAGGGGATCGAACATTTGTCGATGCATAACGCGAATCGACGTGCGTATAGCACGTGCTAAACAAAAACACTAAAGTCAAATAGTAATCGATGAATGGTTACACCTTGTGAGTCTTAAAACAATAGGCGATGTTTGTCTGAGTTATTGCGCGTGCGTGTGTGCGCTGTATAAATAAACGGCTTCGGAGCGCGCTGCTGGCTGGAGTTGCATAATCGCATTAGCATGACTTTGTTTTTTGCCAGAACGATTTTTTTTTGATAATGAAAAAAACCCCTCCGACTTGTTCTCAAATTGCGGCGTGGGTTATAAGAGGGTGGGGAAAGGGGGCGGGGGGTAGGAGGGGGCGGGGGGTAGGAGGGGGCGGGGGGTAGGAGGGGGCGGGGGGGAGGGGTTTACCCTTCGTTCCGCGGATTGATGCGGGGTGGAGGGATGGGGGGGGATATGGGGGGGGATATGGGGGGGGGAAAGGGGGTGGGGAATAAGCGAAGGAGGTAGCGGATTGATGAGAGGGGGAGGGGTGAGATGGGTGGAGGAGGGAGGGGTACGGTGGGGGGGATGAAGTCGGAGGTGGGGAATAAGAGAAGGGGAGGGGAAGCGGATTGATGGTGGGTGATGGGGAGGGGTTAGGGGGAATTGATGATGGGTGGGGGGGGGTTGTGGGTGGGGGGGTTGTGGGTGGGTTGTGGGTGGGGGGGGTTGTGGGTGGGGGATGAAGGCGGTAAGGAAGGGGGGGGTGATAAGAGGGAGGAGGAGGGGCCGGGCTAGGTGCGTCACGTGACGCTCTGCCGGATGTGGCGAATTCGCTCGTTGATTGCCCCGTGACGTCACGTGTTCCTGGAAGCGTCGCGTCGATTATGGAGCGCACGGCGACGCAATTCAACAACTTGTGTTGCTGCTTAAGTCTTCTTATAGTCTTCTTCTTCCTGTGCTTTCCCAAGCTACGGTTAAGAACGCGACGGCAACTCGTTTTTTTTCCCCCTCCCAAAAAAAAATAAAGTTGGTTACTCGAGTAAATTAATTGCACATTTAATAATTCTGCTCGGAATACATTTTACAACTACGCTTTCACCCTCCCCCACCACCGCGTCCACTCCGCAGAGTCCGTGGCCACCGCCTCTTCAGTCTACGTAACCAACTTGTTGAGGAGGGATTGGGGGGTGGTGGTGGCGGTGGTGGTGCAACCGACGGGTCACGTCGCGCAACGCGGACAAGGAACAAAAAAAAAGTTTCAAACAATGAATTCCTTCCCCTCCCCGCCCTCATCTCCCCTCCACATCTCTCGCCAATACCAAGACCGCCTCCGCCAGGAACCCACCACCATCACCTCCCCCACGCTTTGTTAGAAGCTGGCGCGACGGGTCACACCACCACTCACCCACCCACCACCTTTCCCTACAGGTTGATAACTCCCAAATTCATCTCCCGTTTCATTACATTCATATTAAATTGGTCAGGAGCGGGGGAGATGTGGGGGCGGGGAAATGAAGGCGGAGATATTGGGGTGGGGAGGAGGAGGAGGGGATGGAGGAGGTTGGGGTGTGATGATTGTGTGCGTGTGTTGGGTGGGAAGTGAAGCCTTATTGTGCGTCGGGGCGGTGGGATACGTGAATATATGCGTGCGTGTAGAAGGCCTGTAACGTGAACGTATGTGTGTGTATGTGTGAGTGGGTAGGGTGTATAATTGTATTACGTATGTCTGTCTGTTTTATGTGTTTTGGTGTGTCGTGCATATATGAGTGTGCGAGCGCGTGTATGGGGTGGGGTGGGGTGGTGCAACGTATAATGCATATTAATTGTACAGTACAGTATCGGTTAATGTGGAGTGTCTATAATATATTAAAGTGGATGGCTTACACGTACGTACGCAATTTAAGCGTGTCGGGGGAGGTCAATGTACGCATGACGTGGATAGAACGGGGGGTGGGGGTGTGCATATGTACATGTGGCTCTGCATATCCATGTTTGTGTTAACGTATTGGTGTAAGCGTATTGGAGTTGGTGGGTGGGTTGGTGTGTTGGTGTAAGCGTATTGGGGGTGGGTGGGTTGGTGTGTTGGTGTAAGCTTATTGGGGTGGGTGGGTTGGTGTGTTGGTGTAAGCGTATTGGGGTGGGTGGGTTGGTGTGTTGGTGTAAGCGTATTGGGGTGGGTGGGTGTTGGTGTAAGCGTATTGGGGTGGGTGGGTTGGTGTGTTGGTGTAAGCGTATTGGGGGTGGGTGGGTGTAAGCGTATTGGGGTGGGTGGGTTGGTGTGTGTTGGGGCGGGGAGCGGCACGATGGGAGTCGCGGGGAGTTGGTGGAGGGGTTTTGCGGACGGTGGGAGGGCGGCGATGGTGGGTGTGTGGATTGGGGAGGGAGGGATGGAGGAGGGAGATGGGCAGAGCTGCGTGCAGCAGGCCCGGCATGTAATTTACACAGCCTCCAACTTTTAGCGGAGAATGCGCGGCGCCGTGTAAGAAGACTTAACGCGGCTCAAGCTATGGAACCCAACCCAATCGAGGTAAGGTTGTCCACCCCACCCCCCACATCGCACGCCGTCGTTTATTATTATTAACGATGCGTAATTCAAATTTTTTAATTATAATAATAATTTCCGACCGCGTTTAATTTGATAACGTTATTTATTGTTGTTGTTGCGCCGCCTGCCTGTTGGTTATCGGGATCCGTCCGCGGCCGACCTTCGGCTCTGGACGACCCGGTCGTGATGTGGGGGGGTGGGTGGTGGGTGGCACCACACCACAACGTACTCTTAGTTTAAACGTGCAAATTTAAAACTTTTGTAAAAAAAAAATTTGCGCTGAATTTAGGCCTCGCCTCGTTTATTTAAAGTCGCAACTTGAGCGAGCCGATCCGAATGACCTTTGCGTCTCCCCCCCCCCCCCGACTCCTTTTACTACGTTGCTTCGTTTTTTTTACCAAAGCGCAAACGAACAACAACAACAAAAACCCCAGCCACATTCGTTACAATTAAAATACAACAGCAGTCGAGGGGGGGGGGAGGCAGGACGTCGGCCAAACAAACAATAATCCCCAATGACGGCCAAGCGCATCTTTATAACATCAACGACCGCGACATTTAAACTCGCCAGAGCGGGTAACAACAACAACAACAACGTTAGCCGTTGTGCCGTGAACGTAAAAGTCGTAAAATGAATGAATTAAGCGCAGAATTTTGCTTCTGTGAGAACGAAAGAGTCGCGGTTATAATTAGAAACGCAAAATATCCTTCCCTAAGCGAGTCACGTGGCGGCGCGATTTCTTTTGACCGAACGCAGATTAAAATCCGCTCTGGGGTGGTGGTGTTGGGGGGGGGGTTTCTCAAAGTAGTTCTTTTTTTTACTACAATAAAGAAGGGTTTTTTTTACACATCAAACATAATTATCAGTCGTCCCCCTCCCCCCACGTGCCTTTTGTCACGTATTCTCTTTTTAATTGATGTCATCCACCCTCCCCCAAACTCCCCGTGTCTCGTAGCTTTTCTGGCTTCCTTTTTAAATTAATCGTCGCCCGCCGGCCCTCGCTCCATCTCTTGCGTCGCGTTTAAGTTTCATTTAATGTTTCCGCCGGTCTCCTTCTAATTTTCCATTCGCGAATAACGAACAATTCTTGTACGTATAACAAAAATAATATATATACACACACACACGCTTGTACTTCTGTTCCAGCAACCGCTGCCGGTGTGTGATTGTTGTCTGCAGACGGGCACATTTGTTTGAGTCTTGTTTTGGATTAAAAAAAACCTAAGGTTTAAAAAAAGTATCTGTGAATTTAGACAAGTTTATTATTATTTTAAGGCGGTGCAAAGGAGAGAGAGAGAACAAAACATGCTGAGATCATGGCTGACGAATTGTCGGACACTGTTGTTGTTGAGTCCCGTGTGTGTGTGTGCGTCTGCCCTTTCAAGTAAAGACTCTTACAAACTTTTATTCTGGATTTTTCTGCAGAGCTGAAGTGATTCTCGGACTATTTTCATTGTCTTACAGCCGATATGGTAGTCTGCGATTTAATGTGTGTGTTTGACTTGCAATTGTCCATCAATCGTGTTTTGCCGTAGAATATGGACAGTAACTGCGTGCTCTGAAACTTAATTAAGGAACTGCAGTGTAAATTGTGTAATGATAGCCAGTAAAATCCGTGTCATATCTCTACGAATAAGAAGGACCATTGCCAGAAACGTCATCCTGTTCTGTATTTGTCTTGTTTATTATAAAGCAGTGTTAATTGCGAGTGCGTGTGTACAACTGTGTATAAATCTTAATATGCAATGGAATTGTGTGTTTATAATATCGTGTATTTTAATAAGTATTATTTCATCAATGTATTCTAAGGTATTGTATAGTTACACGTATTTTACAATATATAGCATACTACATAGCTATGTGTGTACCGTGTGTGTGTGGATGTGTGCATTTGAATAAATTTCGCCAACAACGTAAACTGTGTTTTTTGTGTATGTGCCTGTGTCGTCTTATATCGGACACTATTACACGCACCATCAAACTGCATGCCACCACACCTCCGACTCTTCCCCCCACGATCCACCCACCACCTCAACTCACCCCACGATCCTCTCACCTGCACCCTCCCCCTATCAAACTCCCGGCACCTCACCCGCCCCCCTCAACCACCACCTTCGGCCTCATCCTCTCCACAACCCCCCCCCCCTACACGGTGTGCCCGCGCCTCTCCCTGCAGTGGGTGGGGGCCCCGTGTGGATCGCACGGACCTTACACCTTCTACAAAGCATTCACGTTCCGACCCTGCTGCGGCGGGGGGGCCGTGCCCACTGCCGTGAGCCCCCTAGAGGCGGGGCCCGCCTCGGTGCCAGCCTGGCCCACCGCGGGGCCCGGCGCGGAGGGGCCCCGCGTGAGCAGCAGGAGGAGGAGGTGCGCCGACGACGAGGGTCGCCCGGGGGCCCCCCGCGTGCTGGCGCTGGGGGAGTTCTTCGCGCTGCGCTGGGCACCCGGCGAGCCGGCTTGCCTGGCCGAGCTGCAGCTGCTGTGGGAGGACAGCGGTCGTGGAGAGATGCTCTCCAGCTCGCGTCTCTACTTCCAGCCAGAGGACACTGCCGGTGGACGAGCGGCCGAACATGGACAAGTGAGAGAGCGTGCAGTCCACTGCCCCCACCACCATTAATCCATATCCCCCCCCCCACCATCACCAGTCCCAATTCCCTCCCGATACGCCAACCCACACCCCCCACCATTCCCACCCCACCCCCCACAAATCCTCAAACCCCATGCACCAATTCCCAAATCCCCACCCCCAATCCCCCACACTTATTTAATTGTGCACACACGTCACTCATGGACACTCAGAGCCAATCCAGTCAGCCAGACTGCCTTCCTACACACACACACACCTAAATTCACACTTCAGGGCTTAATTTCAACCACAACAGTCAAGAAAGCTGTTTTGGTAATTAGTTTGGGATGCCACATCCATCTTGCCTTATTTTGGCAAAATTATAATTATTATATAGGGATCATAGTATGGGGTAACATGATATGCGATTATTATGGGTAAGGCGTACCCTGTACCCTAGTGGTTGGTCCCTTGCGCCGATATGCCTTATTCCAAGCCAATAGAGCAGCATTTGGGATATTATTGAGTGAGAGACTAAGCCTCCCTCTGTACCTACACGCAGGGGGGTACCATTAATAAAACCAGGTCAGACAATTTTGATCCAGGTTTTTTCCAACCGCCCCAGCCAGCTGTACCACAATCATGGGGAGATGCACCCCCACGCATGCAGGTGACCACAATCAACATTGCCCGGCTGACCTGTTTTTTTTTATCCAGCCACCCAACTCAGGCCATGTCCAATTTACCCACAGGCCTGCGGAACGACATTGATTAGTCCATTTTCCCAGGCCATAACCAATTCAACCAAGCCATTGGGATAATATTGATTAAAACATTCGCTGAAGCCAATAGTAAGCATTAAGCCTCATTTACCTGAGGCCATGACACAGTCACCCATCCACCCAGGACCACAAAGAACTCCTTAATCCAGGCCCAAGGCCCATGCAAGCAGACAAATGTTAATTCACATTCACCCAGCCCGGTCAGCTTCTCCAGTTCTCATCAGCCTCGGCCATGCAGACTCGTAGAGGTAGATGCGATTAACTTATGCAATCAATGCCCTTGATGATGCCCTTCATTATATAGCAGGGAGGATTCAATAACAACACTGCAGACGCAAAACATGATATGTTGCGACTCAATGTTTTAAAGGTCGGGGAGATGCTGACGTAAATGGTCTCGGCAGCGTGATGTGTTTGTGTAAAATCATGCGGGGGCCATCGATTAATCGTCATCTTCACCAGCTATGATCGATCCGTCCACTGCTGCATGGAGGACTTCTAAAGCCCCTACTGCCACCATTTCTCTCGATTGTGCAATGTCATCACACATCTATTAAGGATTTTTGTTAAAAATAGAGGAATGCAAATGCTTTGTGCATTGACTGTGTCGACACTTAATTTTATTTGAAACGGGCTTTTGTTTTTCTGTCTTTTTCTCCAAACTCCTCCATTACGATCAAAGTCCATCTCTGGTTCGCTCGTCCGATTCATTAGCCGTTCGCCGACTGCGTGTCAGTGAGCAGGCCTCGTTCCCTTGTGCCAAAGCAAGGCACTGGTTTTGTTTGTGATGGGGTCCAATGTCTCCTATTCACTTCAAATGCCCCGTTGGGTAGGGGTGTGATGAGCAAAGGCTATATGTTAATGTCGAGGCTGTTGAGCCATTCATGGCTCAAGGGTGGTCATGTGGATGGCTGTAGTATTGCCCATTGAATTATAAATACCCTAATAATGTATCAACAACTCTACATTAAAGAGGGCATCATTACATGTTCATGTCCCTTCTTCATCTCTACTATGAAGAAAGGCCATTACGTTTTTTGATATATTCAGCGCAGTGGCATTGACGGATGTTGAGTTTTTGTTGTTACAACACTGCCAAGGCAGTATCACAAATCTTTTTTTCCAGTGAATGGTCATAGCTGGCAGTAAGTGCAGCAGTGAAACTCAACACTTCCGTCAATAACACTGCCTTAAAAGAAAATATATAATCGGTGACGTTTCGGGCAATAGCCCTTAATAGCACAACGAGACGTGAGAGAGAGAGTGACTACTGAGAGCACTTGTTTAACTGCATGGTGCCTTCATAAGAATAATATATATTTAAAATGTTTCATAATTGCCACTTTTTTTAAATCGGGAGCTTCAACAGTTCCACCAATAGTAGCTATTAGATAACAGGCAAAGACTTCAAGAATCGAGAAGTGTTGGCACTAACCAGACCCATTTATATTTAGGGCAGTGTGGATGGGCACGTGAAACTAGTGTTTGTTGTGTATAATAAGAGTTGCATGCACCGTATCCTGTGCCTTAAAAAAATGCTTCGCTGGTGTTTTATTCTTCGGTAGGACGCAGCGCAAGGCATGGCTGCCACCCAACAAGATATTTTTTTGGGCGAGGCTTTGATGAATGTCTTAGAAATGTTAAAATTTGTATTTTTGATGCGTCATTTGTGTGTGTGTGTGATGTGGGTAGTACGTATGGTGTTTACGTTGTTCAGAATATACATTACTTGTGTGTTGTGTGGTGTAACTCGGTATATATGTGTTACTGTGTTATTGTGCCTGTGTATGTGCTTATTATTGCATGAATGATAATTTTCGAAACTGTTAAGAAAACTAAATTCATTCGCACTTACACCATCGCTATAAGTTAGGATGGTCAAAAATAACTACGCAGTGGCAGCCAAAGAATGGAAAGTGTTGAAGAGAGTACGTGAAACTGTGGAGATGGAGCCTTAAAATGTGCCTGTGTGCGTGGCCTCAGTGGATCATTACATTGCAATATCACGAAAGACGGAACTGCTGAGTTAAAAGATTAAACTAATGTTAAACGTAAAGCAATAAAAGTCAAAAATTGCAATGCTGTATCATAGGAATGTTGGATGCATAAATCTGGATTGAGAGATGGGGGGGGGGGGCAGTGGGTTTGTCCATCGCTGCTGATGATGATTGTTACTTTATATAGTGTACAACTTAAGATGCAGTAAAAAAATAGTTTGGAGTGCCGAGATATTGATGATACACAAGACTCACATTACAGGTATTTTTTTTTTCAAACAAAATACCCGCGCTTGACACGAGTGTGTACAATGTAGTTGCTAAATATAGAGAGCGTAGCAGTGACCCGATATAGTTTTTTTTTCGTTTGGTGTTGCATGAAAGCCCATTGGAGTCTTATTTTCGTTGTTTCTCAATGCGCAGAGATTTTGAGAATTACTTAGCGAAAGCAACTCGGACACACGATTATTTTTAAAGCTTTATTCCACATCCTGCCGTCTAACGCAGTGTGTGTGGGTATATCACCTTGTCCATCGTACAAACACTCCTTGGAATGTGCGCTGCGTACAAGCTAATACTGTAACATAATTTAACGTGTAAAGGGCGTAATGCATCCGCCTGTGACGAAATCTCTCCATGTATGCGGCCAGTCTCGTTGAGATTGCAAAAGTTGAGTCTTGTGATAGTGCTTTGGGATGGGCTGAGCACCATGCACACAACCCAGGTGTTATAGGTTCCCCCATTCACCCAAGGACTTCGACAACGAACTTCGGTTTTCTAATCGCCCACGACTTTTGTGCGCATCTTCCAATGTTTGTAAGCAAACCTTAGCGGCTGTGTTGGGACTAAGTTTGAATGGGTGGGTTTCGTGTAAGCGATTTGAGATTTGGTGGGGAAAACGCGTGGAGGCTTTGAGATTTTTGTTTTTTTTAAATGTCCTTGACTTTTCTCTTTTTTTTTTAAATCTCCCATTGGTCGTTTGGTGTGTGGCATCTACGCAAAACTCATCGGCGTGTAAACTGTTACCAGTGGCACTTTCATATGAGAAGAAACGCGTCGGGTTTGATTACCCTTTTTTAAATGAACGATGGATAGTCTTGAGTACTGAGTATGATAAGATACAAAAAAAGTGTCCATTATCGAGCTGCCAGCCAGTCGTTTTTGTTTCTCTTTAGTGTAGAGGGCCCCCCCAGTGCATTGATTGGTAAAGTTTGACCAGTTCTACGCATTAAGGGGGGCTGGAGTCGTTTGCAAGCGGTTCCTTTTGTGAGAAGAGACGTGGTTGACGGTGGTGGTGTTTGTGAAAGAACGTCATAGATCATCGGTTTAAATGTAGTTGGGTGGGGGGGGGGTGCTTAGATGAAGGGAAACGTTGATGATGGTGGTGATGGTGGTGATGATGATGTTGTTGTTGTGTGTCGCAATGACACTTCTCAACGTTGATGTCACAATTGTCGAATTGAATCTTTGTCGAGCACACACTGTGCGGTCACGGCACTGTTGGTGGTGGCGGTGGTAGTTTAGTTGTAGTAACAAAAAAATAGGTCGGTCAATTGAGTTTCGGATGTCATTTATTTTTCGGATATCACTTTTATTTATTTATTTTAAACCCACCTTTTTCCAGCCCCAATTGTGTTGGATTTTGTTACTTTCGGATTTCACTCGATCGAATCGTAATCATTTGTTTACGAATCACAATCTTAATTGTCGTAAGTGCATTTACTGTATTTGTTATTTCAAAGTGCCGTCGGTAAAACAACAATGTAAACGTTGACTTTTGAAAAATATAATTTATTAACTTAAGCAAACGTCGCCGTCACGTGACCGCACTTTTTGGCGGGAAAAGCACGGAAATGACGGCCGCTTGCTTTGTGACCTTTGATTTTCGTTGTCAATTACAACAAAAACACCACAAAATATCCCTGCGGATCAAAGTCTCTCTTTATTTTTCCTCGTTTTGTAAAACGCGTGCCTAATTGACATCTAAAGAACAACGACTCTTCACAAAGACTCGCACCGAACTGAGCCTTATTATCACAAGGCTCCGTTTGCTCGAACACTGAACTTAAATATAAATATATTTATATACATCTCTTTCCGTTGTCGGGGCAGTGTTAATGATGAACGGGGTTAATTGGTTTTTATTTTATTTGTGCTCGTAAACCCCACTGCCTTACCCCATTCCCTTTAATAATTTGTTTAATTACAAATTATAGTTTTCACGGAGTCTGCT